GTGATGATGTGGATGATGATGATGATGATGATGATGATGATGATGATGATGATGATGATGATGTGATGATGTGGATGATGATGTGATGATGATGATGATGATGGATGATGATGTGATGATGTGGATGATGATGTGATGATGGATGATGATGATGGATGATGATGATGATGATGATGATGGATGATGATGGATGATGATGGATGATGATGATGATGATGGATGATGATGTGATGGTGATGATGGTGATGTGATGATGATGATGATGGTGATGATGATGATGATGATGATGATGGATGATGTGATGATGATGATGATGATGATGTGATGATGGTGGATGATGATGATGGATGATGATGATGGTGGTGATGATGATGTGGATGATGATGATGGATGTGATGATGATGGATGATGATGATGATGATGATGATGATGATGATGATGATGATGATGATGATGATGATGATGATGATGATGGTGATGATGATGATGATGAGGTGATGATGATGTGATGTGATGATGATGTGATGATGATGATGTGATGATGATGATGATGATGATGATGATGATGATGATGGATGATGATGATGATGATGATGGTGATGATGGTGATGATGATGATGATGATGATGGATGATGATGATGATGGATGATGATGGATGATGATGATGATGATGATGATGGATGATGATGGTGATGATGGATGATGATGATGATGATGATGGGATGATGATGATGGATGATGATGAGGATGATGATGATGGATGATGATGTGATGATGATGATGATGGTGATGATGAGTGATGATGATGGATGATGATGGATGATGATGATGATGGTGTGATGATGAGGATGATTGATGATGATGGTGATGATGATGGATGGTGATGGTGATGATGATGGATGATGATGGTGATGATGATGATGATGATGATGGTGATGATGATGATGATGATGATGATGATGATGTCGTCTCATAAAACAGTTGTTTCTTCATATTGAGTCTAAATGTTTTTGTGACATTCAACATCCACATTTGATGTTTTAAACTCGGAGTTTTCTGACCAACTGCATGTGATGTTTATAGTTTGTTTTACTCAAATTGTTGACGTATTTCAACAGGATCATTTAAAAAACATGTTTTTGGAGGAACATGGAGAATTACACGTGAATATTACAATGAAAACAACCAAACCGGGTCATTTTTGACCCACTTATGCACTGAAGGGTTCATGTGTGTAGATCTTATAGTTTTGTAACTAGAACCATTTGATTCTGACCCTGAAAATGTGAGTTTAGTTAAAATCAACATTTCAACTTATTCAGAGGTTGAGATATTTCAAAAAGAGTTTTTTGGCCGACTTTTTAAAAATCCAATATGTCGTACAAACATGTGGACAAATACAAACACTGATTTTCTGACTCCATAAACTAAAACCTTTACAAAAATATAGAGTTTAGAAAATCACCCCAAAAATTCCCACTAAGGTGAAAAAATGAGAATAAAGAACTGGACTAATGTGTCAAATGTGATAAAACCAGAAAAAAAACTCTTACAAATGTGACGAAAGTGAAAACAGAAAAACTCACAACTCAGAACTCTGTACCTGAACACAGTAAACACACTCTCTGTGGCTCCTCCTCCTCTGGCTCCTCCTCCTCCTGTGGCTCCTCCTCCTCCTCTGGCTCCTCCTCCTGTGGCTCCTCCTCCTCTGGCTCCTCCTCCTGTGGCTCTTTTGCTCACAGACAGTTTTACACTCCACACTTTCACCAACATCACGACCCCGACTCACTTCAAATCAGGAAATGAAAACATCAGTGTAAAACAAAGGAGCCACACTCAGCCGGGCCCGGGGGCCTCGGGCCCGAGAGCCCGAGCCCCGGAGCCCGAGCCCCCGGAGCCCGAGCCCCCCCCGGAGCCCGAGCCCCCGGAGCCCGAGCCCCCGGAGCCCGAGCCCCCGGAGCCCGACTCTCTTCTGCAGCTGCACCTGTGAACAGTGACAGAGTCAACCTCTGGATCAACGACATCACTACAGCCCCCTACAGGCCTACAGAGGAATTACACTTCAGTTTAGTCCTGGTTTAGTCCTGGTTTAGTCCTGGTTTAGTCCTGGTTTAGTCCTTAGTCCTGGGTTTAGTCCTGGTTCAGTCCAGTCCTGGTTTAGTCCTGGTTCAGTCCTGGTTCAGTCCTGGTTTAGTCCTGGTTTAGACCTGGTTTAGTCCTGGTTTAGTCCTGGTTTAGTCCGTGTGGTGATACAGGAGGTGCTCCTCTGTGTTTTTAAACTCCACTCATCTTCAGTAGAATCATCTGGATCAGTTCAGTCGTGGAGTTTCCTGATCTGCCCTGAACTAAAGGAACTAAAGGTCTGAATAAACTCTAAACTCTAAACTCTAAACTGTTTATCAGTTTTAGTTTCTGCTCTTGGAGAATTGTGTTTTTTAAATATAATTCATATTTATTGTGTGTTTTATCCGATCATGATGAATAAATTATTAAATTATTAATGAAACTAAACGGTGCAGCTCTGGACACTTCATCTGTATTTGAGTTTGAGTGAAACGTGACGAGTCTCAAATCTGTAAAACTAAATCTAAAGTGACCAAATCAAACAGATGCAGACAGAGCAGTGCCTCGGTCAGCGTCACACTGGACAGTCTCAGAAGAAGAGCTGATAAAAAGAGTCTGTTTGGTTTATTGAAATTTGACAAGAACTCGAGGAATCAAACTGAAAGAGAATCTGCCCCACAGTCCCCGTTTATCTCCCGTTTATCTCCAATTTTACTTCCATTCAATTCCCGTTTGTCCCCCTTTTTTGTCTCATTTTTGCCCATGGACCTGGTTTAGTCCTGGTTTAGTCCTGGTTTAGTCCTGGTTTAGTCCTGGTTTAGTCCTGGTTTAGTCTGGTTTCCTGGTTTAGTCCTGGTTTAGTCCTGGTTTAGACCTGGTTTAGACCTGGTTTAGTCCTGGTTTAGTCCTGGTTTAGACCTGGTTTAGTCCTGGTTAGTCCTGGTTTAGTCCTGGTTTAGTCCTGGTTTAGTCCAAACTTCCCGGTGTGTTTTTCTTTCACACAGTCCATGTTCTTCTTTAGTCTGAGTCTGTGGTTAAACGGGGTACGAGGCTCCGCCCCCGGGGCGTGCGCGGGGATAAGGCCGTGGACACGCGCTCCAGGCGGGACAGAGGCGCGCGGACGCCCGGCGGGAGGGACTGGATCGTGGACGCGGGGTGGACCATGTCCCTGAGCCCGAAACACTCCACTCCGTTCTCGGTGTGTGACATCCTGAGCCCCATGGAGGACGGATACCGGCGCTACGGAGCCCCGGAGGCCGCCGCCGCGGGGCTCGGGACGTACCGGCCCCCGCAGCCCCCGCCTCACCTCCACCACCATCATCATCATCACCACCACCACCACCTGCCCCCCCCGCGGACCTGCACCACCACCACCTGCCCGGGCCCGGAGCCCCCGCCCCGGCCCCCGGAGCCCCCGCCCCGGCCCCGGCCCCCGGCGCCCCGGCCTTCCACCTCTCCCCCGGCGTGGGGCAGCTGTCCGCGGCCGTGGGGGAGCTGCAGTACCCGGACCCCAGGACCGGAGCGGCCTGGTACGGCCCCGAGCCCCGATACTCCACAAGTGAGTCCGAACGACCGAGAGCCGAATCGTTCTGAACGAACTTCACTTTAAATTAAAAAAAAAAAAACAGACTAAACTAAAAAAGGTCAGATTAAAATAAAATAAAATAAACTCTGAGTCTAAAATAATGAACGTTTCACCGCGCGGGTCGTAAATATTTCGTTTAGAATCATTCAAGAGATTTATTTAATTTAAACTAAAACGACACAAAAGGACTCGTGTTTTTATAGTTTGTGTTTTTAAATATTTGTTCAGAATTTATATAAATATGTTTTTAATTCTGATTGTTTTATTTCAGAATCAGGAGAAACGAGTGAAAGTTTATGCTGCGACATTTAGAACAAAGAGTTTTATTTTTATTTTTATTTTTTAGTCGTGTTGTGTTCAGGAGCCTCCGGACAAATTAAATCAAATATTTAAGAAAATAAAACCTGTGAAATCTGATCAATAAAAACTGAACTGTTCCAAATGATCCAATAATAAAATGATTATTATTTTATTTTCAGTTTAGAAATTTCCATTTTTGTGATTCTTTTATCACATTTCTTGGGTGAAAAAACTTTAATAATTTAAAACAAGCACAAATCTGATTATTTTTATTTGTTGTTTTAAGAAGCAGCAGGATTTTTCTGTGGATCAGGACAAGTTCAGTTTTAGGTTTTAAAATAAAATCTGAAAATAAAATCTACAACTACAAACAAAATCTAATTCATCTTCATCTCACCAGAAAAACTGAGTCTGACTCTGAGGCTCCGGGTTTGGTGATTTTTATTTGACCTGAAGTCACGAGCCTCGGGTCCCTCGGGTCCCTCGGGTCCGAGTCAGAGCAGGTTCTGTGATTTTAGTTCGGAGTTTCGGGCCTGAGTTTCCTCCGTGACTTTTGGCTCCACGCGCTTTGGGACAAATGTGAAAATCTACAGGTTCAAAGTTTTGACTCAGAGTCAAAAAGTTTAAAACAGAAACTTTAGAAAAACTTTAAAACAGTTTGGAAAAGTTTGAAACAGGCAGTTTAGAAAACTCCAGAAATTTAAGAAAACTTTAAACACTTTAGAACAAAACTAACTCTGTCTCTGTGTCTCTCTGTGTCTCTGTGTCTGTGTCTGTGTGTGTCTGTGTCCTCGTGTGTCTGTGTCCTCGTGTGTGTCTGTGTGTCTGTGTCCTCGTGTGTCTGTGTCCTCGTGTGTCTGTGTCTGTGTCTGTGTGTCTGTGTCCTCGTGTGTCTGTGTCCTCGTGTGTCTGTGTCCTCGTGTGTCTGTCTGTGTGTGTCTGTGTCTCTCAGTCTCGAGGCTCGTGGGCTCTTGTTCTTCTTCTTCGTCGGTCTCTTCCTCGGTCCCGGTCTCTGTCCCTGTCCCGGGGGTGGTGCACCTGTCAGGACTGGAGCACCTGTCGGGCCTGGAGCACCTGTCGGGCCTGGAGCACGTGTCGGCGGTGGAAGGTTCTGGAAAAGCCGCGGTCCTGGCTCTGCACGCGGCCCCTCGGCGGAAGCGGCGCGTGCTCTTCTCTCAGGCGCAGGTGCACGCGCTGGAGCGGCGCTTCAAAGAGCAGCGGTACCTGTCCGCGCCGGAGCGCGAGCACCTGGCGGGACTCATCCACCTGAGCCCGAACCAGGTCAAGATCTGGTTCCAGAACCATCGATACAAACTCAAGCGCGCGGCCAAAGACAAGAGCGCGCGAGACTCGGACCCGGAGCCCGCGCACGCGCTCAAAAAGACTCCCGCCCCCGCGGCCCCGGGACGCGCGAGCGCCCAACAGCAGCAGCACGTGCACCTGTCCGCGGAGGAGCACGAGGACGTGTCCCCGAGCCCGCCGCTGCACGCGCACATGACGCACGCGGACGCGGCGCTGATCGAGACGTACGCAAACAACGTGATCCACGGATCCAACCTGCTGTACGGGAGAACCTGGTAGAACCTTCTAGAACCGGGACCGGGACATTGGACCATGACCCGGGACACTGCGGGACTCGGGGGACTCGGGGGCAGGTCCCGCACGGTCCGGACTGAGTCTCAGACTCTGGATGTTTTGTTTTTTCTTCAGGACGTGAAACATGAAAATAAAAATAAAACCACAAACTCCCAACAAAACCCGGAAGGTTCTGGAAGGTTCGGTTCTACAGTGACATGTGGGCCCTGGACCAGAGGCGCGCGGGTCACACCGGGTCAGAGGCGCAGACCGCGGAGTCACTACACAAACTTTCACCGATCAAAAGAAAAAAACTTTTATTTTTCTCATCAGTTTTATAAAACCCGAGGTCCGTGAACTTTAACATGACCCAGACCCGGTCCAGACCCCCAGACCCGGACCAGACCCGGACCAGACCCGGACCAGACCCGGTCCGTGAGGAGCGCGAGGGCCGCGCACAGGATTTGTTTTTTACAGATTTATTAAAATGTAAATATGGATGAATTTTCCAAACGGACAGAGACACGAGTTTGTTCCCGCTCAGATTTATTTAGTCCTTTTGTTTCCTTTAAATCAGTTTAAACGGTTTTATTTTAGTAAAATAAACCGTGACGCTGCGTAAAGTTCAGCTCTGCTCATCAAATGTTTTATTCAGTTCAGATTCACAGAAAAACTCCTCAGAGGCTCAGTTTGTCCGTGTCCCGGGGGGGGGGGGGGGGGCGCGGGCCTCTGCTGCACCGAACCCGGACCGTCCCCGGACCCCGGCCCGTCCCGCGGTTCCTCCTCTCAGTGAGCCCGTGTCCGGCCTCCGGGAGCAGCTTTGGCCCTGGAGCTTTAAACATTTTTATTTCGGGCTTTGACTTTGTTTTTTTCCCGTTTAAATTTGCTGCTAAAATTAAAAAAAATAAAACCTCTACGCGGAGTCAAACTGAGCCGCAGATCATTTGTCCTCCATTTTGAATAAACTTTTTTTTGTACATTTTCTTGTTCTGTTGCGTCAATTTCATTAAAAAAAAAGTTTAAATTACAAAAACCAAAACCTGCATCAATTTGACCAAACAGATCAGAGTTTGTTTCACTGCTCGAAGTTAAATTCAATGAAAATAAGCGACAAAAACAAAAATGGATTCTGTGCTTTTATTGTGAATTTCCAAACCAAAAACTATTTTATTGAATTAAAGAAAAGTGCAGTGGACAGATTTAAATGTGTTTGTGAATGTTTGAGTTGAATCATTTTGCCAAAAATATTAGAAAAACAAAAAATAATCAATGAATCTGGACGAATTTAATTTATGGATCAAAAAATAAATAAAAACCCTCTGAACTCCGCAGACCCGGAGACGGAAAAGTTTCGAGATCATTTAGTTTGTGAATAATTGTGATTTTAAAGCTCAAAATCTAAACTTGAATTTGATTTTACTCGTGTGAAAAAGCTCATCTTACTCTAATTTCTGATCTATTTTCTAACATTTCTTCATCACAAACAGAGCTGGAGTTGTGTTTTGTTTAATTCTGCTGCTCCACTGTGTTTTTAAACTCCACACATCTTCACTAGATCATTTCAGAACTGGAGTTGCTGGAATCTCGTCGTTACTCAAACAAAACCAGAACTGTGACGAGAAGAGAACAAACATCAGAACTGGACTTAAACCTCACAGGAGTCGGTTTTGTGTTTCAGAATCTGAGTCTTTTCTTCCCATGAGGTTTTCAAAAGTTTGAGTCAAACTAAACGTCTTGTGCTTTTTCTCCGTTGGCGTTTGTGTCTCTTCAGCTGGAGGAGGTGGAAGGTGAAGGTGAAACCGCGAGACGAAAGTGAACGAGAAAAACTCTGAAATATTCAAGCGCACGAGAAAAATCTGAGCAGATAAAATAAATATCTAAACTCTCAAACAAATCCAGTCGAACATAAAACAGGGTTCCCGCTCTTTTCCGTGACTTTTTCATGACCCAAAGTGAATTTTCCATGACTTTCCAGCACCAACATGTGTAAAACTGATCAGACTTTTAAAATTAAATCTGAAATGTTTAACTCTTTCCACTCACTTTATGGTTTATGATTATAGTTTTTGAACATTTCTAAATCCTGTCAGTGCTTTTATTGTCGTCTCTTTTAAACAAAAAACATTCAGAAATAATCGGAAAACGAAGGGAAAGACTCAAATTTTATAACTTTTCCATGAACCGTGGGAATCCTGATAAAACAAGTTGTGTTTATTTTATCCATCAGAAAACAAATTGTAAAAGTTACGACAAAGAATCACAAATCTCCAAACGAACATTTATTGTTACGATTATGAATTCACAGACGCGACTCGAGTCAAAAACCCATCGTCACTTCAGAGGCAGAAGAAACATCGTGTTGGTCTCCGCACGACGACGTTTTTGGAAACATTTTTTTCTAAACTGAAATTTTTATTCGTTTTGGTCTTTCGTTCAAACGGAGCCGGCGTTTCCAGTGAAGGCGAAAACGGGTTCCAGAAATGTGGAGAAATGTGAAAACGCCGGCGTCGTGTTGTCGTACGAAAAAACAAACAAACCGCAGCTTTTGGAAAAGTGACGTCGCGAACTCGTCGTCGTCACGTGACCAGAAGAAAAATCCCGCGCGACAATCGGAAACAAAACTGTTGTGTTTTGTCGTCCAGAGTCACTCGTAGAAGAAACTCATTTATTGTCAGTTTAAACAAGTGAGAGTTTTCATGTGTGTGTTACAAATACAAAAGCCACAACACAAACGCAAATGCCACAACACATTAAAAAGCCACAACGGAAATGACGGCGGGACTCTATTTTCTGACGGACCGATCAAGAGGCAAGTGAAGAAAAAGAACTACAACATGGTTTTTTAGTGTGTTGTGGCTTTTCAATGTGTTGTGGCTTTTCAATGTGTTGTGGCTTTTCAATGTGTTGTGGCTTTTATTTTAATGCAAATGCCACAACAAATACAAATGCGACAACACAACAAAAAGCCACAACAAACCAAAAAAAGTCGACGGAAATGACCGCGGGACTCTTTTAATGCAAACACCGCAATAAAAACGCAAATGCAACAACACATTAAAAAGCCACAACAGAAGTGACCACGGGACTATTTTCCGACGGACCGATCAAGCGGCAAGTGAAGAAGAAGAACTACAACGTGAAACGAATAATAATAATAAAACTTTTTAATGTGTTGTGGCTTTTCAATGTGTTGCGGCATTTATTTTAATGCAAACGCCGCAACAAATGCAAATGCGACAACACAACAAAAAGCCACAACAAACCAAAAAAAAGCCACAACGGAAGTGACCGCGGGACTCTATTTTCCGACGGATCGATCAAGTGGCAAGTGAAGAAGAAGAACTACAACGTGAAACAAATAATGATAAAACAATAAATTACTTTTACTTACGTTTCCGACTTCTCCGTTCCTTTACTTTCGAAATAGAGTCGTGTGGTCACTTCCGTTGTGGCTTTTTAAATCTGTTGCTGCATTTATTTTAATGCAAACGCCTACATTTACTTACGATTACTTGCATACTTACATTTCCAACTTCTCCGTTCCTTTACTTTTCACGTTGTAGTTCTTCTTCACTTGCCGCTTGATCGGTCCGTCGGAAAATAGAGTCCCGCGGTCATTTCCGTTGTGGCTTTTTAATGTGTTGCGGCATTTATTTTAATGCAAACGCTGCAACAAATACAAATGCGACAACACAACAAAAAGCCACAACAAACCAAAAAAAGCCTCAAACAAACCAAAAAAAGCCACAACAGAAATGACCGCGGGACTCTATTGCGGCGTTTGCATTAAAATAGTTCCGCGGTCATTTCTGTTGTGGCTTTTTTGGTTTGTTGTCTTTTTTTTTTGGTTTGTTGTGGCTTTTTTGGTTTGTGGCTTTTTTTGGTTTGTTGCGTTTTTTTAATATGTTGCGACTTTTTAATGTGTTGCGGCGTTTGTATTTGTTGCGGCGTTTGCATTAAAATAGAGTCCCGCCGTCATTTCTGTTGTGGCTTTTTTGGTTTGTTGTGGCTTTTTTTTATGTGTTGCGTCTTTTTAATTTGTTGCGTCTTTTTAGTTTGTGTTGCGGCGTTTGCATTAAAACACAGTCCCGCAGTCATTTCCGTTGTGTTGTGGCTTTTTGTTGTGTCGTCGTATTTGTTGCGGCGTTTGCGTTTGCTGTGACGCCTCTCGGTTTCCTTTAAAGTCCCGCGCCGTTTATTTGTGAAAAAAAGTTTGAAAATAGACCATTTAATGACGGTTCATCCTTTTCACTCTGTTGTTGAAGATTTACTGATCCGACTCGTGTCTGTGGACGTGAATTTTTTCAACCTGCAAAAAAAATTATATAAAATCCAGGAGTGTTGTCGCGTGGACACGTGTCACTGCAGAAACGAGGAACAGTAACGACAAAACAAAGAGTAACACGACCTGATCTCCGACGTTTCTTCCGTCTGTGAAGTGACGATGGGTTTTTGGGTCGAGTCGCGTCTGAATTTATCGTCGTACATTTTCATTTTGAGATTCTATTTCTTGACGTCGTAACTTTTCAGTTCATATTCTGATGGATAAAATAAACACAAAACACATTTTCCGTTCGACTGGACTCACTCCAGAGTTTAACGAGATTTATTTTATGTTCAACTTCAGACAAATGTGCACAGTTTTCTCTCTAAAAACTGACTCCAAACTCCTGGACTCTAGAATCACGAAAGTTAAAAGTCGTGATGTTTCTTCTCACATGAATTTAAACTCTGATAAAAACTTTCGACAGACGCACAAATCCAGAGTCGGACGTTTTATTCGACATGAAGCAGTTTGGAGAATCTCTCAAAAAAACAAAAAAACAAAAAACCAAACGACACTTCGTCCAAACATCGAGTTAAAAACAGACGACACGTTTCACTGT